CCTCGAGGGCCTCATCAGATAACATACTAAGGTGCCTCATGTGGAACCCGTCGAGGGAGACGGCAGATGACTTGGAGTAACTCTTGGAGAGGTCCCTGAGAGCTTCTACTGAGGGGATCCCGATGGGCTCGTGGAGGTCGTTGTCCCTGTGGAGGGGCTCTACCGAGGGCTCCCAAAAGTTCCCGAACTTGGCCTTGTAGGTGTCCAGGGTGCTCTGTATGGAGGCTGTGAGCTTACCCTCGATGACCGCCGTGTCAGGCTCCCATTTGGTACGCTCCTTAATGAACTTGTGTGCGGCCTTGGCCCCCTTGTCGAGGGCCTTGTCTACCCACTCCTTCCAAGAGCTGGCGTTGGCTGACCGCGCATCTGAAATGACCTTCTTAGCGCATGCGTCAGCTCTGGCCTTGAACGAGAGCAGCTGCGCGACTGCGGCAGCTATCTTGCTGCAACAAAAAGCTTCGGCCTCGAAATCAGCGTGCAAGGGCATGATATAATGCTGTATATCTTTGATGAGCATGCGCGTGCGCTCGTTCTGCATCACACGCTGCGGCTTGGCACGCACCACACGGGAAATAAGATCGAATACTGCCGGCCTAGATTCTCTGCCAATCACCTTCCCCACATTCCTTTCCTCCTCCTCATCCAAGTAGCAAGCGAGGCGGTGCATGCGCGTGGCAATCCAGCTCGGCGCTGTGGGGGGGAGACCGCACTGCTTGTGAGCTCTCGTTCTTGGTGACTGCTCTGAGTACTGGCTGGGGGGCTCTCGCTCTCAAGCCTGACGACTTGCGCTCGCGAATCTTGGTGGCCGTCCGCTGCGCTAGCTCGAGCTCGGCGGCGTTGGCCCTGTGCGCGTAGGCCGAGGCGAAGCCTTCTCGCAACGCTGCCTTGTGACGGTAGCCTAAAGCAGAGATAAGCCTACTTATGTGATCTAAAACTTTATCCCAAGAAACGGTGCTAGGATGCACGATATCCTCATCCTCCTCATCCTTGTCGAATGAGGAGGGGAGGGCGGGTATGGCGGGGAATTGAAGGACTTTGACCTCTCCAAAATCTGGTGGCAGATCCAGCACAACAGGGAAGTGCGGCCTAGCATCCCAGTCGAAATCGACGTCAATGTCTCGCACAGCGTTGGCAAGCTGCTGCTCGACAATGAACATGTCTATGACTGAACCGCTGGCTGTGCAGGTGCCCATCGAGCAAACCGGCGCGAAGAGCTGACCCTTGATATAATTGCAGAACTCCGAATGCTCAAGCTGGTCCTGAGTAATATTGAAGTCTCCTGCTATGATGTACTGCAGCCCCGAAACCTTGACCAGATCGGCTATAGCCTCGAGGATGGCGACATTGTCTGGCGAGAGTCCCTGACTCACGTGCCCATGCAAAGATAGACAGAGGATGCCCGAGGTCTGGGGGAACTCCACAACGACTCCAATGACTCGGTGTGGCACCAAAATACCTCCAGGGGGCCCCACGGGTTCCTCCAGGTGTGTAGCACCCAAGATCGTCGGCCACGAAGATGGCGACCCCAGCTGACGAACCTACATCCCCTAAACCGTTCGTTGAGGGGGCAAAAGAGGCAGCGGCAACCGACGGGGCCCAAAAACTCTTCCAGCCGTGCCTAGTGGCCCAGTCTGAGGCCTCGGCAATGCTTAAATCTGACACAAGGTGCACCTCCTGAGCAAACAAAACTTTGGTGGGTCCCCACGCAAGCTCGAGGAGGCGCTTCTTGAGGGAGCCCCAAGAGGACCCATTGAAAGACTCAAAACGGGTGCATTGAGGAGAGGAGGAGTGAGGAGAAGTAGGAAAGGCCTTCCCAGCACTGGCATATGCTGGTGAGGCCGCTGGCGAAACTGGCTGGCAGTCAGCTTCAGTCCAAGAGGCACCGCACGTCACTGTAGCACGGCGCTCTGTCGATGCTGTCGTTGGAGTCGGCGTGGGGCCGTTGCCCATACGGGCGGTGGCCGCGACCGCTGCCAGTTCCCTTGCTCGATGGTCCGCCCAGCTGGCGCGCGGCTGCGGCCTGCTGGTCCTGGTACGTCGCTCGGGCCTTCTGCAGGGCTTCGAGCTCCTTCTTCGGCAGGTGCTTAGCAAGGGATTCCATCTCGGCTTTGAAGAATTCAGAATCAAAAATCGGTGTGTCCGTAATCGATGCTGCTGGCTGGGGCGGCGGTGCTGCCTTCTCAGGCAGGGCCCCCACCATGCTGGCCATGTCATTGATGAATTTGAGGATGTCTGCATTGCCTGCAAACTTAGTCTTGGCCTCCGCGATCTTGGCCTTGGACGTTTTGGTGAACTCCGCAAGCGATCCAGGACCTTCATCTGGGGCAGTGTCTGCCCAGACTGACTTGGCGTCCTGCTCCTCGCGCTGCTGGTCGTCCTGGGCCTGCTCGAGACGTTTCTTCTGCTCGTCCATGGACTGGATGGTGGCGTCGAGCTGCAGCTGCAGCTCCTGCTTGGTCTTCTCCAGCTCTGATATCTGGTGCTTGATCTTCTCGACCTTCTCGGCCGCGCGCTGCACACGGGTGTGGCAGCGCGCCATGCGCTGCGCAGGCGGCAGGCTGGCTGCCTGCGCCGCGCGCGCGTCCACCAAATCAGCTCTGGCCTGCTGCAGCTTGGCGGCCACATCAGGCACGACGTTGGCGTCCATCTGCTGGTAGGTGCTGACGAGAAGTTCGAGCTGCTCGATCTTCTTGTCTTTGTCGTTGGCGGCGGGCGCCTCTGACGTGGGCGCTGCCGTGTCCTTGCCCTTGCCCGTGCCACGCGAGCCTTTCCCGTGGCCAGGCGCTCCGCCTGCAGCTGGGCTGCCTGCTGCTGGCGGCTGGGCTGAGTTGGCGGCCGCTGCAATGGCGGTGACCTGCTTGGCGATGGCGTCCAGCTGCTGCTTGGAGAGCCCTGCGGCGCCGCCTGCGCCGCCCGCGCCCATGCCGCCGCCTGCGTTCTTGCCACCGCCCTTGCGGCGACGGGCTCCACGCTGTGGCTGATCACCCTTGTTGTAGTAGAGCCCGCAAATGTGACACCACAGCTTGCTGCTAGCCATAGGTGTCCAAGAGCGTGGACCACACTTCTCACACTGAACCCACGCCGCTGGCCCAGTGGCCTTCGCCATTGCGGAGGACGGGCCGTACTGGCAAACTGCTTCTGAGCGAGAATGTTGCGTACAGAGTGTGGCACCGCCTGGTGCTCACAGCAAACGAGATGCTCGCAGGCTGACCCCAGAGACGCGGGCTGGGCCAGTCCTGGAGCGAGCGGTTGGCCCTGCGCCACCTCGAGAGATGGCAACTTGAGCCAAGGTGGCTTGAGCCAAAATGGCTACGGACGCTACGCTGCGCTGCACCGTATGCTCTACAATTGACCACGTGCCATAGGACGAGCTGCTATGACAACTGTGGAATGACATGGTATGCTAACTGCTAGGCCACAACGATGGGCTAGGGCCCGAGTGACATGGAGCCTACCGCAAAATCTAAGGCACGGCAATCGGCCCCTCGTTAATAACAAGAACGGACACCTTACGCAAAGCTTAGTAAACATAAAACCACTCATGTACCACCACTGAACCAAGCATCCGGAAAGACGCGTGGGCAGAAGAGTGCGCGATTGGCAGCTCTTCGTGAAAACCAATGAGTGCGTTGCAAAAGGATTGCGTGCACACAGAGACTCGACTGTGAAGCAGGAAATTGAAATGCAACTTGAGAATTAAACCTCTGCCCTCGTTTCCGTTCGCTTGGCCCTTCTCGGGGATCCCAGGCACATAGCGTTCCGGCAGCGATTCCTCCCAATTGTTGGCCAGAGGCAGGCCTGGTAAGGGGCTCGCGGGACAAGGAGTCCTGGGCGCGGGATGGCCGAAAAAGGACTGCAAACACTGCGCGCGAGCGCGACAGTTAGAGGGAAGGACAGCACGCCACGAATCTACACATCAACTCATACATGTATATATACATATATATATATATAGAATACAAGTGTAATACACATACACAAACACCCGCCGACGAGTTTTACGGGTGCCTTCAGGGGAGGGTGGCGGTGCATAAAATCGCTGGCTCGTAGCGGTGATGTTTTCACCGCCATCCTCCCCATGAGACCCAGAAAGAATCCACTGGAGGGTGTCTGCGAACATTCTTTGATGGAGGAGACGGGGGATGTCCAAGGAGAGGCTCTTCGCAAAGGTTGGTGACAGAGCAGCCGGTCGGATACCGTAGCGCGCAGCACGAAAGTGCATGCCGCAACGGTCAGGCACGACCGAATGGAAATTAGGAGCGAATCAAGCAGCCCGCACTCACGTCGTGGTGCAAATCATGCGCCGCGCACCATAGGCATGCTTCTGCGACAACTCGCTTCGGAACTGCAGAGAACGTCCAGCCATCCCGGGCAAGCGCGAACCTTCAGGGAACACATACAATTGTGCACGCATGCGCGATGAGTGAAACCCACACGAGGGGCAGACCAGTCCGGGCAGCATGTTCACCGTCGGCTGTCGGCAAAGAAGCAGCTCGGATCTCGCTCCCCCGGGGCCTCGCGTTAGATCCTCGCGTTCTTCAGCGTGGCCCAGCCACCCGAGGGACTCCCGAGGTCCCACATCAGAGGCCTCCCAGATGGGGCCCGAGCAACTGGAGTCGGAGGATCGCGCGCCGCATTGCCGATGGGTCGACGAGGCATCAGCGACGCCGGCGTGGGGAGGATCGGGCGACCCGTCAAGCCGCGTTTCCGATGCATCGGCGATGCGGCGCGATCCTCCGACCCGCGCGAGCTCCCGGCTGGCCCTCCCATCGCCGCAGCAGACGCCACGAAATCCCCCTGTAGGGGGACACGCCCGACATGATCCCAGCTGGCCCTCCCATCGCCGCAGCAGACGCCACGAAATCCCCCTGTAAGGGGACACGCCCGACATAATCCCCCTGTGGGGGGACACGCCCGACATGATCCCAGCTGGCCCGCCCATCGCCGCAGCAGACGCCATCGAGGCGGCGCGGCCGTGTGCTCGCGCGCCCCGCCCCGTCCTGTGGCGCGCCCTTCGGCACGGAGTCCTCCAGGAGCTTCTTGCCCACCTGCGCAGGCGGCACGGGCAGGATCGGCCAGTGTCGGATCGGGGGAACTGGAACGAGTCAGCACGTACGTCGGCGTGGAGCCGACCTCGAAGCGAATCGGCTGCGCCAAAATGCACAGCGGCGACACGCAGGCATCGGGCCGCATCGGATCGTCGAAGTGCGGACATCAAACAGCATGAACGTGCGGAAATTCGCGCGGATCGTTTGGATCGTCGCTGGAGCCCCCTGGCGGCGCCTCCGGCAAAGGGGTCCAACGCTGATCCGAAAAATCCGCGTAGACCTCCGAACGTGTATGTTTATGCCACTGTATGTTCCCCTGACAACGTCGGAATCAAATCGGATGTGGCCAGCCAACACCGACATCGAATCGGATATATCGGATCGACGTGGACCTGCGGGGGGGCACTCCCAAGACAACGCTGAGCTGGAGCTGAACACGGGAGAGTCCGAGAGTACCGCGGGGCGGCCAAGGGCTTGCAAGAGCAGCGGCGCAGTGGAAACAGTGCCACAAGAGCCTGGAACAAGAACATGAGCCCCCTTGCCGAAGGCCAGAAAGTCCCATGGATAGATGGCGACATCCGAAACCTACCCCACCGCCGATCGAGTTGCCGAAATCGTTGATAAGAGGAGGTTGAGGTTCGGATTCCGCCGCCGAACCAAGAAACCCCCAGCGAGGAGCATCTCAAGGCGGACCGCTCAAACATGAAGAGCACGAGGGTGCCCCTCCAGAGCAACAGCTGCTCTAAGCCCTGGTGTCAGCTGCGTTGACGTGGAGGATCTGGATGCACCTCCGAGGCGCGCAAATGAGCAGCGGGGCCAGGGGCTGACCTACCCTGCGCTGCCGGCTTTTAATCTGAAGCTCTCTTAGGCCTCACGGAGCTATCCGGGAAGATTCCCAGACGTCGGGTCGCAGCTGACAGCGCGATTCAATCACGAGACAACTCGCCGCTTGGGCCCCGCCGCCAGCCCGAACGGCGAGCATAAATCGGGCGTTTTCCCCCACGCATTCGAATGCCCACACCTCGTTATCGTACCACTCGTATTCCTCCCCGTCGCCCTCCCCGTCCAGATCGCCGTCGTCGTCGTCATCGTCGTCGTCGTCGTCCTCCTCCTCGGGACCGTCCGTGGCGAAGTACTTCGTGGGAGTGGGTAGATGCTGGGAGAAACATTGGGCATTCTCAGAGGTAGCGTGGCCACGTGTTCCGCAGGTTTGGGTCCGACCAAAACTGTCCAAGCCATACGGCGCGTCGATCTTCCATGGTGGTTGTGTCGACGTTGCTGCCAAAAAGACTCCGAACGCAAGCACAATACCACCCTGGAAGATGCAACGGTGCCGTTGAGTGTTGCTGGCAGGTGCGGCATGTCGTGGACGTTTGCCTGCGTGGTGCGTCGCGTGACCACCGTAACTCTTCTCGAAGGTCGGTGGCAAGACGGCATCAATTGCGCCCTCGGCCGCCGAGAATAAAACCGTCTCCTATGGTTGCGCCATGGGTTGCGCCCTCGGCGGCCGAAAATAAGAACGTCTCCGATCGGTTGCGAAATAGATGCGCCCTCGGCCGCCGGGAATAAAACCGTCTCCGACTGGTTGCGCCATAAGTTGCGCTCTCGGGCGCAGAAAGTAAAACCGTTTCCTATTGGTTGCGCCATAAGTTGCGCCCTCGGGCACAGAACATAAAACCGTCTCCGATGGATTGCGCCAGAAGTTGCGCCCTCGGCCGCAGAAAGTAAAACCGTTCCCTATTGGTTGCGCCATAGATTGCGCCCTCGGGCGCCGCCAATAAAACCGTCTCCTATCGGTTGCGCCATAGCTTGCGCCCTCGGGTGCAGAAAGCAAAACCGTCTCCTATCGGTTGCGCCCTCGGGCACCGAGAATAAACCCGTCTCCTATTGGTTGCGCAATTGGTTGCACCGTCGGCCGCCGAGAATAAAACCGTCTCCTATCGGTTGAGTCATAGATTGCGCCCTCGGCCGCCGAGAATAACACCGCCTCCTATTGGTTGCGCAATTGGTTGCACCCTCGGGCGCCGAGAAAAAACCGTCGCGTAACGGGTGCGACCACTCAGTTACGCCCTCCAGCGCCGAAAGAAAAACCGTCTCCTATTGGTTGCGCCATCGATTGCGCCCTCGGCCGCAAAGAATAAAACCGCCTCCAGTTGGTTGCCCCATAGGTTGCGCCCTCGGGCGCCGAGAAAACAACCGTCGCGTAACGGGTGCGACCACTCAGTTGGTCGGTCAGTCAGCCAGTCAGTGAAAGGTTACTCCGCGAGAACCAATTCCGGGCCGCGCCCGAAATAAAGAACAACCTGTGCGCGCAACCTCGGGGGCGTCCGAGGGGGGGCGCCCAAGAGGGGGGGTCGCCAATCGCGTTCCTGAGCATGCGCGCGCCCAGGGGGCCCGGGGGGCATCTCAAGGTAAGGCCGCGGCGCCGTGAACTCTGGAGAGACGCCGTGGCCCTGGCCGCGACACCCGCACACCCCGATTCATCGCCCCCCTCCTGGCCGTCCCCGGCACCCCCGCGGCGTCCAGACTAGGCGGCTGAACGGCACTGCCCGCGAGGTGCCGGGGTGGCCCCGCGCTCTGGCCCAGGAGAACCCAGAATCGAACCGAGGAGTCGGATCGGCGATCGGAGTGAATCGGATCGGCGGAGATCGGCAACCAAGTCGGGAGAAGTCGAAACGGCGGAAATCGGCAAGCTTGTGGGCTTCCGTTGAGAAATCGAAGCCCAAATCGGAATCCGAAGCCGAATCGAACCGAAATCGGAGCTCACCAAAATCGAATCGAATCGGAGGAATCGAAATGAGCCCTGTGGCCTGAAAGAGCACAGGGCTGGGGCAGCAGGCTGGGACGGACGTGCGGACCACGAGCACACGCCAGGCTCTCGGACAAGCGGTGGAGTGAGAGCTCCGGGGCTGGCCCTCATCGAGCGGCAGGAACAAGACTGGCCAGCCACGCGGTCAAGTATCCATACGGCACTGGACGTGACTGGACGTGCACAAGAAGAAAGCATGTGCAAACCTCCATGGCATCACCAATCTCATCCAAGGACTTGCGCTTCGTATCTGACACCTCGCGCGCGCCACAATGGCAGGGGGAGACTGATATCACACGATTGACGAGAGGCGGACAGTTGCTGGCGTAAGGGCACAACATATGTAAGGAATATAAAAAGACGGTGAGGAGAACAAATCAGCTGGAAGAGAGAGGGGGGTGCACGGAGATAGGGAGCGGGAGAGATGTGGAACGAAGGGCGGAAGGAAAACGGAGGAGGAGGAGGAGGAGGAGGAGCAGGAGGAGGAGGAGGAAGAGGAGGAGGGGGAGGAGGAGGAGGAAGAGGAGGAGGAGAAGGAGGCGGAGGAGGAGGAGGGGGGAAGGAGGAGAAGGAACATGAGGAGGAGGGAGGAGGAGGAGTTTTATAGGGAGGAGGAGGAGGAGGAGAGGCAGGAAGAGAAGGAGGGGGAAGAGGAGGAGAGGAGGAGGAGAAGGAGGAGGAGGAGGAGAAGAAGAATGAGGAGGAGGAGGAGGAGGAGGAGGAGGAAAAAGGAAGAGGAGGAGGAGGAGGAGGGGGAGGAGGAGGAGGAGGAAGAGGAGGAGGATTCGGAGGAGAAGGAGGAGGAGGAGGAGGAGGAGGAGGAGGAGGAGGAGGAGGAGGAGGAGGAGGAGGAGGAGGAGGAGGAGGGGAGGAGGAGGGGGGGAGGAGGAGGAGGTGGAGGAGGCGAGGAGGAGGAGGAGGAGGAGGAGGAGGAGGAGGAGGAGGAGGAAGGAGGAGGAGGAGGAGGAGGAGGAGGAGGAGGAGGAGGAGAGGAGGAGGAGGAGGAGGAGGAGGAAGAGGATGATGCCCGCGGGGTAAGGCGGCTGTGTCGATCCACAACCATCTCCGCGCGCGCCCCCGCGCGCGCCCTCGCCTCGGCGCGGTCACGCGCCCGAGGCCGTCTGGCAGGCCTCGGCCCCACCTCGTGCCGCCCGCAGCAGCCTCGCCACCTTGGCGGCTATGCCAGGCGAGCAGCTTCGCTCTCGCGCGCGGCGCCTAGGCCTCGGCCAGCCGCCGCCGCCGCCCGCAGCCCCTGCTTCGCTTCGAGCAGCAAGGCCACCTGCAGGCGGCTGGCACCCCTCCTGCATCCTGGCCCCCTTGGCCTCGCCGCCGCCGCCCGCAGCCCCTGCTTCGCATCGAGCAGCAGAGCCACCTGCAGGCGGCTGGTTCTCCTCCTGCAGCCTGGCAACCTTGGCCTCGCGCTGCGGCGACGGCGCCGAGCTGCGCCCGCGCCTGCCGCGCCGATGGGGTGCACCTCCGTCCTTCCCGCCAGCAGGCGGCCCCTCCAGCGTGGTCGCCAACAGCACGTCCACGCCGTCCTCCTCCGGGCCGCCCGCCTGCGGCTTGCTCTCGCCTCCTGGGGCCCCTGCTGCGGCCAGCCTCTGCGAGCTGCCTCCTCCTCCACGGGCAGGCGGCTCTGCAGGCGTGGTCACCTGCGCGCCCGCTCCTGCAGCCGCGGCGCTGGCCGCCGTTGGCTGGTCTGCCCGCCCGCCAGCCACCTCCGCGTCCAGCAGCTCCCCCTTGAGGTCATCGGGGCGCGCGATGACGACTGGCACCACCCTCGCCGTGCGGGGCGCGAGCCCTCGCTGCAGCTTGGCCACCGCAGCGCTGCCCGACGCGGAAGGCGGCATCTTGCACTCACCGCTGAAACCACATGCCCTGGCGGCGCCCGCGATCCCGCAGAGGCGGCAGGCGACCAGCGGCGCCCTGCGCTCCAGCTGCTCGTCCACGGCGGGGCGGATGACCACCAGGTCGTGGGCGGTGAGCCCCTGCTGCCTCAGCCTCCTGTTGGCCTTCGCTGCGTCCGCCACAGTGGAGCCTGGGCATTCACCCGCTGTCTCCTCCCACCTGCAGACTTCGCGCCACCTGGGCTGCCCAGGCTGCCCGCGCCAGGAGCATGCCACCTGCGCGGCTGCCGTGCGCCTCTCGGGAAGAGCCCGCTGCTGCTTCACCTTGCCATGCGTGGTGTCGCCGCCGTCGGCCCAGGCGCCCACTGCCGAGCACCACAAGGCGACCCTGTCGACGAGGCCTCGGCTACGAGCAAGCCGCAAGCGCTCACTGCCAGGCAGGCGTCCCGCAGCGGCCGCCTCCTTGGCCGCGCGGTCGGCCAGACGATTGCCGTACCAGTCACGGTGCGACACCTTCCCAGCCACCACCTGCTGCCTCGCGCTGTGGCTGGGCACCCACCTCAGGTGCACCTCGCTGCCTAGCCCTCCGTGTTCATCCAGCAGCGCCCGAGCTTGCCTCCACAGGTGCGCCCAGGAATGACCGCTGGCCGTGGCGTGCATGCGCCCCACCTGGTAGAAGCCGTCGAACGCGTACTTCGAGTCCACAACCAGCACTGTGCCTCCGTGCCCGTACCTCTCAAGGCCATGATCACCGCCGTGAGCTCGCCGCCGTTGATGTCGACGTACGGGCCGACCATCTGGCCAGCGATCGACGCCCTGTACACGTCCTCTCCCTCCATCAGCGCAACTGCACTCCAGCCCGCCGACGTGAACCCGCCGTGGTCCGCCTCGAACGCCGAGCCGCCCAGGAAGAGCTCACCAGCTGGCAGAACACCTCCATCATGGTCGCCCTTCCAGCAGACCAGGTCGCTGGCCTGAGGCTTGCGCAGCCCCCTCGGCACTGGCCACAGGCACCTCTCCAGCAGCAGCTGGAACCCAGGCTCCTGCCATCTCCTCCTGAGGTCCTCCAGGTCTGGGGGAAGGGCCAGCACCTCTCGCCAGCTAGCACAGTCGCAGTGCCTGTGCATCAGGGTGCCCTCCAACCTGCGCCTGAGGCACTCCGCGCTACTCGCCAGCCCCTTCTCCGCCTTACGAGCCTGCGTCCACTGTCCGTTGACGACCAGGGACCGCAGGTACGCCATCTCGCGCTGCGTGAGCCGCACCTTGACCTTGCCAGCACCTCCTCCCAGCAGACCCTCAGGGTGGAGCACTCTACCTGTGGTGGTCAGCCTCACCAGCGGCTCGAGCTCGCCACCTGCCGCCAAGTGACCACACCCCGGGTCCTTGCTGACCTGCGCATGACCAGCTTGCGCACGACCCACGGCGCCACGTCGAACGGCGCGATGGTGTTGCCGTCGTCCATGACCCAGCTGTTGGCTGCTTCCACCTCCCAACCGATCCTCCGCAACGACATCGCCGTCGCCGCGCGCGGCCCCTGAACGTGAGCCCAGGTGGCGGCCCTCTTGTCCTGCAGGCAGCGGACCACCATGTGGAGAGGCACCCAGCTCCCCCACACCGCCCGCAACAGCATCATCACGGGCATGCAGGTCGCGTCGATGATCGGGTCGAGCCCAGGCTGAAGCATCAGCCCCAGCGACCTACTCTTGCTCGCCGTGGTGTTGGAGACCGCCGCAAACGTCATCGTCCTGGCGCGGTCCAGCTCGCCCATCGCGCACCCCGTGATGGCCGTGCCGTAGCCGATGCTAGGGCGCAGCCCCGTCTTCACCACCCTCTTCGTTGCGAGCCTCTTGGCCTTCACCATCTTCAACACCTTGAACTTCCTCAGCCTTTGCCCCGCCTGCTGGTAGCGTCCCGCGCGCACCGCGCGCCCCGGCCTCTTGCCCCCGATGAAGTCGACCCCAAGGTTTCGCTCCTGCCGTGCCGCCAGCACCCCCAGCGGCTTGCGCAGCCTCTTCTCCAGCTCCTGCCTCGCCTCAGGGAAGTTGGCGAGCGCCCTGGACTTCTTGGCCGCGACCGCCAGGTCCACCTCGCCGAGCAGGACCTTGAGATGCCTGGCCGCTGTCGCGATGTCCCCGACGACGCGCTGCAGGCCCCCAACCCTCCTGATGATGATGTCATCCACGACCACCGAGAGGGCCACCGTGGGTACCAGCGCCCGCAGCCTATCCAGCGGCTCCAGCAGCAACATCTTGAGCATGAACGTTGCCAGCCCATCCCCTGGCAGCACAGCCTGCTCCGTGTAGATGGCGTCGCTGGCCGCCTCGTCGCGCGCCAGCCACCTGGCCGACCTGTGCAGGCTGACCTGCAGCTTGAGCTGCCACAAGGGAAACCCCGTCTTCCTCGCAGCACGAATGCGGCGCCCGTGCTGCACCTGCTCGCACGCCTTGAGCAAGTCCAGGAGCACCAGCGCGGCGACCCAGCTGGAGGCGTCGCCTGCCTCGCGTCCTCTGGCCGTGGCCCACTCGCACTCCACCGCCTGCTGCCAGACCGCCCTCTCGCGACCCTTCCCTCTGGACGCCCAGAAGAAGGGCCGATCGTTCCTGCGCTCCCACTCGACCGCCGCTGGCCTGCGCAGCCTCGTCTGAATCCTCGCGAGCACGTGTGCGATGGCCACCGGCCTCACCCCTCCTAACCTCTTGCCCAAGAACACGATCTTGTTGTTCAGCTGCGACCACTCCGCCGCCTGCTCTACCGCCATCACGACGTCGATGAGCGTCTCGGGGCCCTCGTCGCTCAGCTCCAGGAGCTGCCGCGGCTTGACTGCCTCGAAGCCCGCCGCGGTGCCCATCCTGAACGTGCGCAGCACCGCCATCATCTCCTCCGCTGAAGGCCTGCCAGGCCTCACGCCCAAGTCGTCTGGCCACACCAGACCCTCATGGGCGCACTGCACCCTCCAGAGCTTGCCCCGTTCCTGCTCGAGGGCGTCCAGCTCCTGGCAGAGGCTGTGGGGGCCTGCCGCGGAACTACAGTCGCTGCCTTGCCAGCCCACATCCACCCTCGTGACTGCATGCAGCCCTCCTGTTCCTCCCTTCAGCTGCTTGTCGACCCACCCGTCGACTGCCTGCCGCGCTCGTCGATGTCACGCTTGGCAAGCTGGTGAGCGTGCAACTTGGCCAGCCTGGCCAGGGTCAAGAGGGCCACGGGGTCCCAACTCGCAAGCCCTGCATGCTGCAGCACCCGCAGCCACCTGCCCGCCACCGTGCTGGCGCGGTAGCATTCCTGCTCGCTCTCGGCCTGCTCATGCCACTGCCTGACCCTCTGAGGCGCCAGCTCCGCCAGCCTAGGCAAGAAGTCGAGCGCATCAATCCGGCCTCGGGGCGCCTGGGCCCTCGCCGCGGCCTCCAACGTGCTGGCCGCTCTCGCCATCCACGCTGCTTCAGGCGTGTGCCTCGGCGCCCGCGGCTCCTGGATCCCGCTGCGTCGCGCCCTCTTGGTGGAGAAGCCCTGCGCCCTGCCCGCGTACCTGTCCCTCTGGTCCTCCAGCTGGTGCGCGTCCAGCCTCTCCTCCCCTGCGCACTCCAGGAAGGTGGCGAAGGCAGCAGTGAGTGCGTCCTTGGCGCAAGTGCCCTCGCGCTCCACCTCGCCTGCACCGCCGCCCTGCTTCTCCTCCTGCACCTCCACGTGCCTCCGCGGGAGGAGGGCGGCCTTCTCTCCCCAGAGGCTGGGGGGCCTCACGCATGCTCCCTCAGCCACTCCAACCTGAAAGGGACTACCCGCGATTCCATACGGTGCCTGGCTCGGATGCACGCCGCCAGCCCCAGCATGGGGAGCAGCTCCTGGGCAGCCTCCATGCCCCTCCTGCGCCGCCACCTCCTCCTCGGGCCCGCGCTGCATTCCGCAGACCTGCAGCGCGTCATGCCAGGCGGCACCGTGCTGCATGCAGCACTTGCTCAGGCTGCCTCCAGAGGCTTCGGCTGCCAGCGTGGGCGGAGGCGGCAGCGCGCTGCCGAGGGGGCCCCGCCTCGCCCGCTGTGTGTGTGTGTGTGTGTGTGTGTGTGTTTTGTTTGTTTATATATATATATTATTATTCTCTCCGAGGATGCCGTTGGCATTGGCAGCGCCTCGGGGCCACCACCTTCCCTCAGTTCTCTGCTGCTGGCCAGAGTTAACAGGTCTGTCATCCTCATGCGCTTTTCCGAGGATGCCGTTGGCAGCGCCTCGGGGTCACCACCTTCCCACTTCACCTGGCCTTCAGCTGGCAGCGGCGCCGCCCTCCTGCGGCCTTGCCTGCCGGCTCACGGCGTCGACCAGCGCGCGTGCCACCCCTGAGTGTCCAGCGCCCTTCTCAGCCTCCTGTGGTTTTCGAGGATGTCATCGGCAGCGCCTCGGGGCCGCCACCTTCCCTCCTCTGCTGGCCCCCCGTCGGCCTCGGCGCCGCCCTCCTGCGGCCTCGCCCGCTGGCCCTCGGCGTCGACCAGCCTGCGCGCCACCGCTGCGCGGCCAGCGCTCTTCTCAGCCTCCTGTGGTTTTCAGAGGATGCCCTCGGCAGCGCCTCGGGGCCACCACCTTCCCTCTGCGCGCTCCTCCGTGCACGCCGCCTCTGCCTCATGCGGTTTTTCGAGGGTGCCATCGGCGGCGCCTCGGGGCCACCACCTTCCTCTAGCACCCGGGCGAGCCTCAGCCTCGGCGCCCTCCTCTGGCGCCCTCAGCTCGCCAGCGGCTGCTGCCAGGCCTGCTCCTAGCTGCCCCCTCACACGCTTCCTCGCCCGCAACCAGCTGCTGTGGTGGTCCCTCGCGCAGCGTCCGCGCGGCCTTACCTCAGGAAAAGCCCGAGGCCTCTGCACCACCCTCATGGCGCCCTCCAACATCTGCTTGGCGACCTCGACGATGACTGGCGCGTGCGGGTACGCGGGCGAACCAACCACCACCTGAGCGCCCTGCGCGAGCAGCCCGCGCGACACTAGGAAGTAGTCCATGATCCGCCCTGACGCCATACAGGCAGGCCCCGCTGGTCTGACCACGGACGCGTCGAACAGAGCCAGCACCCCGCCTGCCTGCAGCTCCTCCTCACTGAGATTCCAATCCCCACCGACCACGTACCCTCTGCGGCACTGCCTGAGCCTCCTCGCCAGCAACTTGAGACTCGCCATGTTGCTGAGGTTGAGGCCCACCCCCGCCTCCAGGCACAAGTTGGCGATCAGAAAGCCGCCGCCGCAAATGCCCGACACCCAACGCACGTGAACTCTGCCGTCCACCACCACCGCCGCCTGGTGATCCTGGACTTCCGCCATCCCGTGGCAACGTCGCACCACGGTGGTGAGCCCCCTGTGCTGAGCCCCCCTGACTCAGACCGCACCGCTGGCGAACTCCTTGCCCGCCATCCTTGACTGCGGAGCTGAGCCTCGGCATCTCCGCTCCGCCCCTCCAGCAGCCTGGTCTCCTGCACCAGGATGGCGTCACAGTTCTGCACCTCCCGCACCATCAAGCACTTGCCCAGGCTGCTGAACGCGTTGACATTGACCGTGATGATCCTCCAGACGCCTATCCCCTTGCTAGGACTCTGCGTCCATCTCCTCCTCTCCCGTGCGCATCTTCTTGGCCTCATTGATGAGGGCCTCAGCCGCCTTCCTCTTGTCGGGGCCCACGAACTGCTCCTCCAGCTCCTTCCAAGCCTGCTGCACCTCAGGAGATGGCTGCTGCGGCCGAGGTTCCGCCCCAGCAGACGACCTTGCCACAGCACCTGCCCTCGTGGCTGCAGCAGCGCCAGCCTCCGCAGGACGCGGCTGCACAGGATCTGGCTCTCCAGACCCCTCCCCTGCCACCTTGCTCTTCCGCTCGAACAGCTTCTCGACCGCCTCGGACAGCTTGACGAACTCACCGCAGAGCACTGGGTTCGCCGCCACCCCGCTGGACTTGGCCCAGCCTGCGAGCGCCGCCTTGACCTCTTGCAGGGAGGCACGGGTGGCGGGCGCAGCAGTCGCCACCTCAGCTGCCACGGCGGTCTCCGCCATCCTGGCACTCTGAGCCGCCAGCGCCACGCGCGCTCATGCGGCTGCCTCAGCCAGCTCCTGCCGCAGCTGCCCCAGCTTCTCCGTGAGGTCCGCCGTCTCGTTGATGGCCGCCCTCGCCTTCGCCCTGGCCAGCTCCAGCATGTGCTCGGTCCGCTTGACCCTCTGCGCCTTCTCGTCGGCCAGCAGCTGGGCGGCTTTGACGGCCTTATCCTTGGACAGGTCGTCACCCAGCCCCGCGCGCACCAGCCGCCTGGCCGGCTGGAGCTCGTTCCTGATCCTCGCGCTGAACAGCTTGGTCGCGATGGCGAACTGCGCATCTGACATGCTGACGAGCTCGCGACGCTCATCGTCACTGAGCACCACTCCCGCAGCACGCTGACCTCCTTCTCCGCTCTCATCGCCACGCCACCACGGCGCACGGGTCGCAGGCGCGCCAGCACCGGCACGCCCACCACGCCCGCCACCGCCAGCGCCAGCAGGAACACCGCCACGACCTGGAGCCCCCTGCGGCAGGAAACTGCCCAGGACCCTCTGCGACGGCTTGCCGCCCCCCTGGCATCCGTAGCGACAGCACATGCGCTCGGCGAAGTTGTAGTAGCTACACGCCTGGCACACCCATCCCACGGGCCCGCCTGAGCGACCTCCTCCACGCCCTCGTCCCGCGTCGCGCCCCATCGCGCGCGAGAAACTGGAGGAGAGGCGCCCGACTGCCAGAGCGCAAAGACTCTTGCCTGCCGCGGACTAGCGGTATCCGTGCGATCCCCTCGGGAACCTGGCATCTTGAGCCAAAATGGCTACGGAGGAGGAGGAGGAGGAGGAGGAGGAGGAGGAGGAGGAGGAGGAGGAAGGGGAGGAGGAGGCGGCGGCGTAACGATATCGGGCATAATGTCTCGTCTGCCAGGAGACCACACAGCGTGAGACGCGAAGCGATATTCAACGATGTGCAACCAATCGTGCGCTTTCCAAGCAGATGAACGACAGCCCCCACCAGGAGGGGGGAGCCCCGAGTTGACTTCGCTCGACCCCATTCATCGAGCAACACCTCAGAGAAAACACGCAAGGCAGGCCCTGGAGCCCAAGAAAAAACTAGGTTCCCGTCGCGAGAGCGAGCAACTCTGAATGGATCACTTGTTCGGGGCACGCGCGGTCCCCCTGGGTCCCGCAGTTCCGCTCTGCTCTTCTCGGGAATCCCACCAGCCCTCGGGGCAGAGATGGCTTCAGGCGCTTCCTCTCATAGAAGAAGGGCAACGCCACAAGCACAAACTTTTAGCGCTCCGTGCGGATTGCTTGGATCTGGGCTGAACCCCCTCCCTGGCGCGCGGAGCGCGCCAGGGGCGGCGCCGGAGGCGCCGTCAGGGGGGCCCAGTGCGGATCGAAGAAATCCGCGCGGAGCGCCAAAAGTTTAAAGCTTTTGGCGTTTTTTCTTCTTCGATCTGCCGACCCCTGTCTTCCTCTTCGGGGAGGGGTCTACCTCAGTTCCTTCTCAATCCACCGACCCCGCTCGCCGGGGGCGAGAAGGCGTGTGAGATGATTGGCTGTCCCCCTCCCCCTTTCCCCCTCCCCCAGGGTCCAAAATCCCGTTTAGGGGGGGGAGGGGGAAGGGGTATCCGAGCTCCTCGGTGCACCCCCGGAGACTCTGGAGCTTCCAAAACTGCTTTCCGTGGCCTCAAAGACGCTGTTCCAAGACGGTCCCAAATCGCGGAGCGATTGGCCCAGGACGCCTTCGACGGCTCCAGAACGCCCCAAGACGCCTTGGAGACGCCCCAAGAGCCTTCCCAAGAGGGCCCCGAGAGGCAAACATCAGTGGTTTTCTGTTGGTGTTCGAATTACTTCTGGGGTTATCGGCTTCGCGAGCTTCGGACGCTCCAAGACGGCCCAAGAAGCCCCGTAAACCGCCAAAACACTGCACAAGAGGCCCCTACGAGGGTCCCAGGACTGCCCGAGAGGGTTCCAACGCGGTCCAAAGAGGGACCCAAGACGGCCAAAGATCGCCCCAAGAGAGCCCCAAGAGAGACGAAGCGGGAGAACACGAACCGAAAATCTGATCTTTCCGCCCCAAGAGGCCCCCAAAGACTCGAAGAAGTTCCAAAGCGGCCGAAAGAGCCCCCCAAGAAGCCCCAAGAGGCCCCCCAAAGGCCCAAACGAGGCCCCAAAGCGGCCCCCAACACGCTTCAAAACTGCCTCCGAGAGGGTTCCGCCGGGGCCCAAAACAGCTCCCAAGACGCCCATAATGATCCCCGCATGGTGCCCAAGAAACCCACGACGCCGCAACCGTGGACTTCACGCCACTTCTGGGGGTCGGCGAAATGGCGCAAACTTCTTGAATAGACACCCGCTTCCCCGTTCGACCAGCCGCCAACCAGGAACCATGATCCCCCCACCACCACCCTTGACAACAAAACGAAACGCAAAGCGCATGGGGCGGCAACATCTGGACCGCGCGCGGTACCCCCGCGAGCCCCTTACATCAGCTCTTGACTGGGAAGGCGGGGATGCGATCCTACACGTCCGCTGCGGGCTGTCCGGTGCAAGCTCGCCGAAGACCTCGCTGAGCGTGCACATGCCATGCACCATGCTGACCACCCAGCCCCGCTTTCTCTGATTTTCGACACGGATGGTCGGGGGGTCGACATCTTGCCTGATTGTGTGGTGCCACGTGCACTGGCGCCCCTCGAGCACTCTGTGCAGGTTGTGCACCTGGCGCACCTGGCGCGACTCTGCGCAAGTGGCGCATCTGGCGGCACGCCTGGAACGCTCAGGCCCCTGGAGCACCTGGCACTCGTGGCGTAACTCGCGAGCGTCGCACGCCTTGTGTCAGCGGTAGTTCCCAATCGATGCCCATCCGATGACGACCTCTGCCTAGGCTGGGTCTCGGGTGTTACTGACGAGAGGACGGGCGGGAGCGAGCGAAAATGCTCCCCTAGGGAGCTTGACCTCCCCCCCTCTCTCTCCTCCCCCAGGTCCGGAGGAGGCCTCTGGAGGGCCCAAATCCAGGTCGGATCCAGGTGAACCACGTAGGCAATCACACGTTAGCCCCGATCCTGCAGGTCGTATTTTTTAAGCCCCGGCCAGGGGTCATCGCTCGGCGCAGGTCTGCAGCCAGGTGAGCCCATACGGGGCTGTCCGATACCTCCGCTTCGGCTGGACCCCAAGGGGTAGAGTTAGAAAGTGGTCGCAGATCGGATTCCGTTTTTTTATATAAAAAGAATGCCAGAGCGAAGAGCGCCGGCGCACGAGCCGCACAAGGGGTCTTGTGCCAAGCAGCGCTTGGCCAGCAACAGAGCGAGC